CGGCCGCACCAGGACAGCCCGGCCTTCCGCCACCACCAGCTCTGCCCGCCCCTGCGCGACCTGCAGCAGCGCAAGTGCTCGCAGCACAGCAAGCTCTTCGAGTTCTATTGCACCCAGCACGGCGTCTGCATCTGCTCCCTCTGCCTCCTGGGGCACAAGCTGTGCCACACCAGCCCCCTGCAGCAGGCCAGAGCCAACGCCGAGGTGAGTGGCTGCGGCCGGTGGGGGTTGTCAGCTTTGCTCAGGGTTGGGGCACCCTCCACGGGACACCCCAGAGCTCCCCTTCGCTCCCCCAGGGCATGGTGGGTCCCTGGGTGTTGAGCTCATGGGCTGGTGGAGTGCCAGGAGAAGGCTGGAGCAAGGCTTGGACTGTAAATCTCATGCCTGGCCTCGGCAAAATGTTATCTTCCCTCCAACGTGCACTTGGAGCGTGTCTTCAGAGTCGTTCCTGGTGTTTGTCTCTCCAAGATGGTGTTGGCAGGGCCTGGGAAGGTGCTGTCATGAGGCGGATTGCCAGCTCCTCTCTTGGGCTGGGCTGGGCAGCAAGGCCTCCTGCCTCTGGGGGGTCTGCCCAGCCCCCAGTTGCTCAGTGCACCCCCGAGAGCTGCAGCATGTAGGGAAGAGCCAGGAGGAGGTTTCTCCACGGAGAAGAAGGGAAGGAAATCCAGCCTTTGTGTCTTGCAGCACAGCTGGTAATCAGAGGGTACCGGAGTAAATCACACTTGAAAAGTGTAGGTAGCCAAAGTTTCATGTGTTCATTGGGTATGTAGGCTGCTTACCTTACAAAGTCCTCCCTTATTTATTATCTTGGCAGCATCTTGAACTAAAGGCATTAACAAGTCAAATCTGAGCAATAACATTCTCAATTGAAATGAGAGGGGGTAGAGTAATGTTAAGCTGGTCCCCAAAGTCCAACCTGAGAGTGAACATAAAGTCGGTTAGCACTGGGAACACCTGTGCCGGCCGGTGGGGGTCGTCAGCTTTGCTCAGGGTTGGGGCACCCTCCACGGGACACCCCAGAGCTCCCCTTCGCTCCCCCAGGGCATGGTGGGTCCCTGGGTGTTGAGCTCATGGGCTGGTGGAGTGCCAGGAGAAGGCTGGAGCAAGGCTTGGACTGTAAATCTCATGCCTGGCCTCGGCAAAATGTTATCTTCCCTCCAACGTGCACTTGGAGCGTGTCTTCAGAGTCGTTCCTGGTGTTTGTCTCTCCAAGATGGTGTTGGCAAGGCCTGGGAAGGTGCTGTCATGATTGCCAGCTCCTCTCTTGGGCTGGGCTGGGCAGCAAGGCCTCCTGCCTCTGGGGGGTCTGCCCAGCCCCCAGTTGCTCAGTGCACCCCCGAGAGCTGCAGCATGTAGGGAAGAGCCAGGAGGAGGTTTCTCCACGGAGAAGAAGGGAAGGAAATCCAGCCTTTGTGTCTTGCAGCACAGCTGGTAATCAGAGGGTACCGGAGTAAATCACACTTGAAAAGTGTAGGTAGCCAAAGTTTCATGTGTTCATTGGGTATGTAGGCTGCTTACCTTACAAAGTCCTCCCTTATTTATTATCTTGGCAGCATCTTGAACTAAAGGCATTAACAAGTCAAATCTGAGCAATAACATTCTCAATTGAAATGAGAGGGGGTAGAGTAATGTTAAGCTGGTCCCCAAAGTCCAACCTGAGAGTGAACATAAAGTCGGTTAGCACTGGGAACACCTGTGCTCACCAAAGGACTTAGTTTGTATCAAAAGTGAGTCAGCAGCAAGCATCTTGGTGTCGGGAGGGGTGGAGCTGCAGGGAGGGTCCTGGCTCCACAAACAAGGACTTTCACATCCTGTAAGGCTTAAGGAGCAGTAGGTTTTAAAATCAATACTATTAAACGCTTACTGGGGATATTTAAAACTTCCTATAAATATGGTTCTTACTGTGGCATACATGGCCTGGCAGAGACAGACATGGCACCTGCTTCTCTGAAAAGCTTTCTGATCTCTTCCTTTGCAGGCGGCGCTGAAGAAGAAACTGGCAGAGCTGCACAAGCAGGGTGAGAGAGCTGCTCAAGCCATGGACACCTTGAAAACAAACCAAGGCCAAGCTGCTGTAAGTGGGTAGCTGTTCAAAATGCTGTCAGGTTGCTTGGCATCCTCTGGCCGCTGCATGGTGTTGATGCTTGTACTCATGTGGTAACAGCTGAAGTATTGAGATTGTATTGGCAGGATAAGACATTATTGGGAAGGAACAGAAAAGGGGCATTTTGGCAGAGCCAGGCAGCTCTGTGGGAGATGGGAGTAACCCAGCTGCTGCACAAGGGCTTTAACCCGCACACGCTGACACACTGACCCTAACAGGGCTCCAACCCATCCTTTTCCTATTGCAGCATAAAGTGTATGTCTGTGCAGGCCAAGCTAAAGGATCAGCAAGCTGTAATGGCTGCACCACTGCAGAAAGTTGGGATGTCTGTTCCCCATAAACCACCACAACTAATCTTTGCTCTTGGCTGATGATCAGGATTGCTGTTTGTCCTGACAGCCGGATCGGGTACCTCTCACTTGTACCATCCTTTCTGAATCAAGTGGTAGAGACCAAGAAATTGAAAGCTGCTGGCTTAGCACTTCTGTGCTCCCCTGGATCATCTCTGGAAAGATCAGGAATAATTTTATATTAACCAGAGATGCCACATCTTGGAGGTAGAAACAGGTACAGCCATTGAGTGGGTGTGTGGTGTTGGACCTCATGGCAGCAAAGCCCTGGGAGCTTGACAGCCCCCACAGCAGGGTCTGGAGCCAAGAACTGCCCTAATTCCTTGGGAGAAAATGAGTTTTCTTTCCAAACTACAGAGAAATATGTAGCTTTTCTATTGCCTGTTTAAAGTAATTGAAGCCTATGTCCCTCAAAGGCTTGTTTTTTTCTTGTAGTAGCAGTAAGCAGTACTTTGTTCACAAACTGTTCTTTTGAAACCAGCATCTGTCTGTTTTTGTTTGCTCCAGGACACAGTTTCCAGGAAGAAAGATTTGATCAGAAATGAGTTTTCAGAAATTAAAGCTTTAGTTGAAGAAAGAGAAATTCAGGCCTTAAAAGTAATTGCGGATGCAGAAAAAAGAGTTTGCAATAAGTTTGATTATATTTATGGTATTCTGGCAAGTAAGAAGAATGAAATTCAGTCTCTCAAAGATCAGACTGAGATGGCACTGACTGAAGCTGATGACGTTCTGTTTTTGAAGGTAGTGTATCCTTTAAATGCAAATCTAATTCTTTTGTGCTTCTAGAATGCAGAATCACAAAAACCTGCTGTGGTAGTCCTGCTCCCCAGACACGTGGGGCTAACTGGTAATGCAGTGTGCAAGAACGTGCTACAGAAGGATGTAGTGATAAGTAAACAAGTATCAATATAAGAGAACTCATCTCCTAGAGGTGTTGCAGCTCTGTGCTGTGACACCACCTAGTAGATCTTCCTTACTGCTTCAGATACCAGTTGAGAATCAATGCACATGGTCAGCTGCTGAAATTTTGCTGTGGGTCTTGTCTGACTGTAACCTTTGCTCCTTTGAATTTGAGAGGAATGCACAACACCCACCCCATTTAAAGTGTCTTGGTTGTATTTTTCTGTGTCTGCTACACAAGCTTGTCAGCATGAGATCTTCCATTTGTCATTTCAGAGAGCAGCAGCACTGCAACGAACATCAACAAAAGATGCTTTTGTTCCAGCAATTGAAATGGACCAAAACTTGATACATTCCACTTATCAGTCTGCCATTAATCTTAAAGACATTGTGAAATGTTCAGTGACTCAGTCGAGGGAGAAACTAGCAGAAGGTACTGTATCAATGGCAGGACTAGCATTTTCTGCCTTGGGTCTGAGTTCAAATGAGGGCTTTTCCCCCTTTAATTGAAATATAATTTTAAAAAAAAAGTGCAGAAAATACAGGTGGTTAATATAAATTGTCTTCCAAATTTGCAGTCCTCTGTTTCCACACAAAAATGCTAAAGTCTGGGCTAAACTAGCAGAATAAAATGTGCCAGTGCCTCCTTAGCATATTATCTATACTTGGATAAGCTGATAAGTACCATGATACTATGCCCATCTGGCCTTTATTCCTTACAGTAATTTATATTTGTATTACGTAGCAGGGTTTGATGCAGTTAGGATGTGGATTTGAGGGATGACATAAAATGCTTTAGAGTGACAGGACTGTGATCACCCAACTGGAGAGGTGCTGATCATATAAGTGTTACAGAACAAAGCCTTGCTTACCAGGTTAAGCAAAAATATCTTTAGGACTGGGGTGTGGTTATCTTCTCTGCAGTCTCTATCTCTGCTGAGTAGCACTTACATTCTGTTCACGTAACTGAAAAATAAGATTGAAAAATGTCCTTGGTCATGCATTACTGTTCCTGGCAACTCAAACCATAATGTAAAATATTCCCATTGCAGTAAAACTAATACCTGGAAAAACTAGGCCCACTCGTGTGGCTTCTCCAAGCAGAACAGTTGTTGAGAAAAAGGGTCCGGGACCACGTAAGTACTAAAGAACATAATCCTCTCCTAACTTACCATTAAGTAAGAATTCAAGCAGTTACCCAAGAGCTGTTTGCTCTAGTCGTGATGCAGTGATGATCTGTAGTGAGCCCTTTAGCATGGAAAGGGGAGGGTATTGGGGGCTGTTTGGTGGTGGACACCTTGTGAGCTGTAAAACAGCAAACGTCAGGGCTATGATGGTGCACCAGCCTTGGAAAGCAAAGCTGAGCCTCCCCACCCTCTGCTTCTTGCAGCTTTTTTCATTCGTACTAAACATCTGGTGAATTGTTTGATGGATTATGAGCTGTTCACATTCTGTTTTTTTTCTTTTCTCCCCTCACAAGAGAACACCAAGAAAGAGAAAACTGCTCCCCAAGCTCAAGCCACTTCGCAGGAGGGGGAAAATACCAGTAAGTGATGATTAACAGCAGCCTTACTTAAACATTTTGCTGGCAATGCCTTGCCTACAGTCTAAGGCTGGGGTGATGGAGACAGTCTTTGTGGCAGGTTACACTAGGGTCCTTCAGTGTTTTGTCCAGATACCAATATTAATGGGGCAGTCCAGCCTGCTTGGAAGATCTTAAGACATTTTCTTTCTGAAATAATTCCACGTGTTAAGAAATTGCTTGTGTTATTTCTACTGAGATCTTGACACATGGCCCTTTCCATTCACTATTCCTGGTGTGGAGCACTCAGTGGGGTCTGTTGTGGATTGCTGGAGTTGAATGAACTTCTAGCTCCTGTTGCTGCCTCATGGGAACAGGGTTATTACCACTTGCCCTAACATACTGCATCTTGGAGTAGGGATGAAGCTCCCTTCAAGCTTATGACCCTGTGAAATAGGAAAAAAATGTTATGCTTCATGTGTAGCTTTTCAGTATGGGTGTATTTCTATGTGTCTTCAATGTGCTGGACTGTCAGCTTTATCTACTGCTGCAGCTTCAGAAGAGCCGTGATGATGGTGTTAGAGGTGGCACAGTCCATTAGGGGCTTTTCAGTTTCAGCAGAACTCACCGTTAACTTTTTTGTTTCTTTCTTTCTTCAGAGAAAAATAAACCTGCTAAAGTTGGTGAGTCCAAACTTTCTGCATATTTAATTTTCATTGACTGCTCTTAAATGGTAAGTAGATGGTCCCTAGTGTTGGTGTAATAAGCAAAAGTTCAACTCTTGCTCTGAGGAGGCTCTTACTAGTCACTGTGAGAACAATCTAGCAATGAAGGAGGTTGCCCAGAAGTAACGGGATTTTCAAAACTTGACAAGACAGTGTATAGCAACCTGAGCTAATAGTGAAGTTAACCCTGTGTGGGGCAGGAGGTTAAACCAGTTAACCTCTAAAGGTCCACCCCAGCCTGAGGAGGTTGGTGATGGTGTGTTAATGCACTGTTTCTTCCCAACTGATCAAACTATTCTTACTTTTTTTTTCTGTTGACACAGCACCGACCGTAGCAACACCAAATAGTACAACTGTTGCTGCAGCTAAAGAGCTTATTGAAAGCTTTCTGAAGAAACCCAGAGAGGAGCTTTTGCAGCGTAAGACACTATGTTACTCAAATGTGAACTTTCTGCACTATCTGTCCAAAGTACTTTTGAGGGGGTTTAGTTAGCTTAGTAGGCTGTCAACTGGTTGATACAAATGAAGAATATATTTGAAGGAAAAGCGGGCAGGAGGTTTCTAAGTGGTTCCTTTGCCAGATGAATCAAACTGATTGAACTGATGAATCAAACTTGATCTTTGGTATTGATGTATCTTTACAGAAGTAAATGACCTTTTTTCAGCAATGGCTTTGTTTTCCCCCAGAATGACTGCATTAGGGTAGCCTAGAAATACAATGTCATGCACTAGATTTTTCTTTGAGATCAAATGCAGGCTTTTATGTGAGCCCATGATGTCTTGCTTAAGATGCTGTACCAGATGGTATACAATATGGTAGATGTTTCACTGCCAGATCAGTAATTCCCTTCTTTTGCTAGTCTATGTTTGGGTGGTTAAGGAATCCTATGGGGATGCAGAAAGGAAAGGAACTTGCCCTCCATTTGCCAGCTGTGTAACACAGAGCTGGAGCTGAGCCCAGAAGCTATTACCATGGCCCTAAGAACTGCCTGCCCTGTGGAGAAAAGCAGAGCAGGGAGATGAACTTGCATAGGAACAAGTGCCTAGACAGGGTGGTATTAATGAGAGTGCTCTGCTCTTCAGTACCTTCAAACAGTTCATGTCATTGCAGATGCTGCTCACATCACACTGGATTTCAACACAGCTCATAATAAAGTGGTTCTGTCTGAGAGATACACCAGGATGTCTGTCTCAGACACCCCCATGAATTACAACCACCACCCTCAACGCTTCACCGATTGTCCCCAGGTACTGGGGTTCCAGTGTTTCAAGAGAGGCATCCACTACTGGGAAGTGGAACTGCAGCAGAACAACTTCTGTGGCATTGGGATCTGCTATGGCAGCATGGACCGGCGCGGGCCCGAGAGCCGCCTGGGCAGGAACAGCAGCTCCTGGTGTATCGAGTGGTTTAATTCCAAAATATCAGCCTGGCATAACGATGTTGAAAAGTGCTTACCCAACACTAAGGCTACCAAGATAGGTGTGCTGCTGCACTGCGAGGGAGGGTTTGTGATTTTCATGGCTGTTGGGGAGAAGCATAACTTGATCTATAAGTTCAAAACCCAGTTTACTGAGGCCCTGTACCCTGCCTTCTGGTTATTTTCCAGTGGTACGGTTCTCTCTCTCTGCCAAATGAAATAGGGTGATATTTAGTGCACCTAAGTACTTAAATGCAGATGATCAGTAGCAGTAACTCTTTGTGTGTCTTAGTCTAAGAAGCCTCAAAGATTGATTGAGACAAAAATTACTAGTTCTTTTAAGCATTTTGGGAAATCTGCTGATTCTTTGCTCTAAATTGCTACAGACTTTAGACAGTGATTTAGTAAAATGATGATGATAGTAAAAACTGCGTTGAAAGGTTTTGCACAGATCTTGATTGTCCTTCTAAAAGCAAAGATGTGAGACAAACCATTGTTAAATGTCTTCATTAGGCTTCTGTCATTTCCTGTAGAGGATCTCCAGAATTAATTTCAGGTCTAAGTGTGTTTCACAGGTAGCAAGAACCCTTTTGAGAAAGAAACAGAAGGAATTTCTTGAGACATTCAGGTTCCAGGCTTTGAGGTAGGTCTCTGTGTTGCCTTTTTCTATATGCAGAGACTGTTGTCCATAGCCAGGATCTGCTATACACTTGTTGTCAGTGTATGAGTCCATGAGGTGGTACAGAATGAAAGTTCAGGTCTTGCAATGCGAGGTTATAAAAGCCAGAGTGACAAATCTCATCAGAATGGAAATGCAGAAACTTTTAGAGTTGAGGGATAAGAAATGGTGTCAGAATCACCATGAAATAAATGACATTGACTTGGAGACTGGAAATACACCCGAGTCTTCAGGAAGGTATCCTGCAGACCAGTAGTGTGTACCCTGTAATACAGTGTGGGATGAAGCATTCTGTCTCATGCTCTGACCCAGAACATGCTTCACATCCTCACACTGAAGGTTCTTCAGTGGCTTTTTTGAGTGCTGGGAGGTTCAGGTAGTGCATTTTTGGCTTGCATAAGGAGCATAAGTGTGCTGTTCACTGAAAGCAGGGTCTCTTGTCACAAAGCTTTTTCTCTTTGTGAGGTGGGGTATTCTCTGCTGGTATATCTTAAGTTGTTCAGGTGGTAGAAACTGTATTTCTTACATCTTGAACTCTGATTTGAGGAGTCTTAAGATAGTCTGCACAGTACATAGAAAATGCTGCGTCCTCTCTGTGAAGCCTGTGGGCAGACAGGTGAGTCTTTTGAAACATACAGGGAACAAGCACAAAGGAGAATATACTTCCATTCCCACTGAAATGGATTTTTAATTCTCTTGGTGTTCTTTCCTTTGGTTTGTGGTATGTCTTCAGAAGTCTTTGCCACATAGAGAAAGAAATGCACTTCCACATTTTTTACTTGCAACTTTAAAACCACCAGTAGGCAGTCAAGGTATTGGGATCTCAGAGTTATTGGGCCTGTATCTTGTTGATGCCTCTGGACTTGCCCTGCTAGCTCTCAGTTCTTGTAGGAGCCGGTGAAGAACAGGGAAGCTCACACGAGGGACTTCCTGGACTTTGATCTGTAAGATTTCCCCTTATGGGACTTGGTGAAATAAACCACAAAGCCACTACTGGCAGTTTGGAAGGGAATTTTTAGAAGGATTAAAGGAATCTCTGTGAATAGATTTCAGATTAGTCCAAGTGCTTTATAGAGAGACTTGCAGAAATTCAAGCTTAGTGTCTCTAATTTTACTTAGTTTGTAAACTTTTAGTATTTTGTCAAGGATAGCATAAGCCTCTGATAAGAGGCTTCCATTTCTTTGGCCAGAATAGGATATGGAATTGATGGTGGACCTAAAAGTGTCACAGTTGTCTTTGGAGTAGCTGTACTATCTCAAAGGTCTTAGCTTTCCAAAGCACAGTCAGCACTAAAACTACCAAACTAAGCAGAACACTTCAAAAGGTGTGTAAGGAAGATGCATCCTGCTGGGAGCCAACCATTGACGCAAACCTGTTTTCCCAGTTTTTCAGCAGTGAGGGACAAGGGCAGTTTCTTCTGAGAAACTCTGTCCCTGTAGCTGCTTGGCTGTCAGACAGGGCTGCAGATCCACTTAGTCCCCTTGTTTGTAGGGGAAAAAAGTGCTTTGGGGGTTTGTGCAGTGAAGAAGGTCCACATTTCCTATTGCTTGCTTCTTGACTTTGAAGGGGGTATTAACCTCTAAGTCTATGAGCTTCTTTAGCCATAGTCTGGAGTGATGCTCAAGCAAAGAAAAGAAGAGCTTTTATTCTGGCATGGTGGACAAGGTTGGAGTCTTTACATGTGACACTGGTGTATGACCAATAGTACATAGCACTAAGGTGTTCTGGATTACCACAGGCAGAGAAACAAGCCTGTGCTGTATTCCTGATTTTTGTTTCCTTTTGTGCTATGAATGATTAGAAATGATAGAATGAGTTTCTGTTAATTTGGAATGAAATGAGAAATGCGTAACTGAATTACTGTACTTCTGAAAACTGTTATTTTGGTTAACTTCAGATATCTTGGATATATCAAAACATTTGGGGGTGATACAACATTAGAAAAAATACTAATTACAGTGTGATAAATGATAGTTCAAAAGCCTCTTCAATATAACTGAAGTGTTTTTACTGTGCCAGTAACTATCAGTGCTGTACTGGTTTTAAACAAAATATAGATACAAGCATATGCTTTAATTATACTTCTCTTTTTAATACTATAAAGAATCCACTTATCCAGTCTAGAAAAAGAACTAATTCTGATGTTAGCAAAGCCATGAGGATGTGGAATTATTTGCATATTAATATACAAGCAAGAGTAGATGGAGAAATATTTACTGAAAATATATTAATCTGTTTAAATTTAATCTTTAACGAAACATATCAGCAAAATACTGCAGTTAGAAAAATTATTATATTATTATTATTATTATACTGATATATCAGCTGTGTACTTCAGTATGTATACTGTATGTTATCTCATATAGCTAAACATCCTTGTCAGGGCAGTAGACACAGTTTTTATGCCATCTGTTTTATGGCTGTGTGTAACTCGTAGAAGCTGACTTGATCTTTTCAGCTGCAAAATGAATTAATTGCGATACTTGGAAATCAATACATACTTGTGGTAATTCCTAACTCTCAATGTTTTGTTCTGTGCTGAAAGATAAAGCAAGCAGTAAGGAAGGCAGAAATAATGATGCTATAGTGGACAAATAACAGGTCTTTTACTGCATAATTCACTGAGGTTACACAAGAACTGGGGAGGAAAGGAAAGGAGAGCTGAAGAGGCTGTGGGTGGTATCCTCTGGGCTGTCAAATGTTGTCCTGAACTCCTGTAGCTCCTTCACCTGAGCTACACAGCCTTTCCCAGTAACACTGCATCCTAGCCAAGGATGAGGGGAACATCCTTTCCACCAAACAAAACTGGAGACCTTTATTGGGTGAGCAGAACCACGGTCATCAGTTGGAGGAAGATGAATGACTCTGTGGGCAAAGGGATTGCTTAAAAAAGATTTAGGTGATTTCCAGCACCTGCCAGCTCAAGCTACACCTGGAAGCAGCACTGGGGAGTGATTCCTAATGTTACTCGGTGAAATGGATGTAGAAATCTTAAAAGGATTTAGTCGAAATGAGATAGGTTTCAATAAGTAATTGATGGTTTGTTGCTTGATTGCTCAAGAGTAATTAATTTAAGGCTAAACAAGATAAGGGAACAACTAGACACTAGAAACAGAACTTTGACTTAAGTTGGGCAATCAGCCTCAGGAACCATGTAGAACTGTTTAGGTCAGCCAAAACAGTGTCCCTGGAGTTAATTTTGCGAATTATAATATGAAAACCACACCTCCAAAAGTTGAGATACCAGCTTCTGCTTGAAGCCCCCTACCCACTGAGTTTTCACAGTAGTTTTAAGATGTGTCTTTTAAATCAAGACAGAAAATCTTAACCAAGAGTAGTATGCAAGTATCAGATACTGATAAAAAAAAAAGTTCTGCTGTGCTAAAAGCAGTAGCACTACTGCTGTTTATATTGTTTCAATTTCTTCCATCGTCAAGACTGAGGATGTTTAGATACAGACATGAGTTGCAGTGGGGCAAAGCAGCTAGTGTTTCTGTTGGGATAAGATGAAAAATTTGAATCAGTGGAAAAGCAGTAAAGTAGTTGAAAAGGAATATAAGATCAGGCCATGCACTCTTCAGATTCAATGGCTTCATTAAAGTGATGAAGCCATTATTGCATATTTTTCCAATTCTTTTTTTTTTGCCGAAATGTAAGCGCAACTTTTGTCTCAAACGAAAGGATAAGAACCCTGTTTGGATTAAAAATTGGGATAAGTCTTCTGACACAGTGTGAAATGGCAAAGCCATGGCTTTCACTCACCCTGAGGGTTCCAGCAGGAAGGCACAGGAGCTGCATGCCAAAATAAACCTCAAATGGGAGGTTTATGCTGAGCTTTGCTGCTGACTCAAGTACCTAATACCTCCTGTCAGTGAGAGAGCCCAGGCTTTGACCCCTCTACTAGGAGCTCATTCTGCACCTAGAGTTGTTTGCAGCATAGGAAGAGGAACACTATTTTTCCCATTTTCTATCCTTGACAGAGTCCATCTTCTCTTCCTTTCTAATGCTCTTAATCCATTCTGTTGAAATCTAGCAAGGCTTCCAAAATAGTAATGGAGAGTAAAAATATTTAGTTTTTCTAAATGCTTTTCTTCATTTCAAAGGGATTAGTTTTGGTTTCAGTGATAATGTAGGGATATGCCATTCACACTCCTGTAATTAATACAGTCTTGCTTAGTATATTCATAATTTTGTCTTGGGATGTAATCCTAGTCATGTCTGAGAAGCCCGTGGCTCCATCTTTAGGGAAATACTGTCTCACTAGCTAGCATACTCCTGCTGTTGCCCATACACAAGGACTTGAACTGAGCTGGGGGCCAGCAGGGAGCAGAGGGGCTCCAGATGCACTGCCAGGCCCATCCTTACCCCCGGCGACAGACCCACAGCCCCCTTCCCTGGGAGCCTGAGAAGTTACTGCAAAGCTGTAATTCCTTCCCTCCCACAGTGCCAAGATCAAGGCCAGCCAAATTGCTCAAGTATCAGTTTCATGCAAAGTGAATGCTTGACTGGAATCCTCGGAGATTACTTTTGCCAGAAAGATATTGCTGACTCCAAAGAGAAACTTACAATTAATTGAAAAGTGTTGCTGATAGTTTGATCTAAAGCTTTGTTTTCAGCTGTGTATCAGTGGAACCACATACGTGTATTACCTTGTTGTAGTCAGGAGAATAAAAGTATGATTTGCAGGACCTGGCTTCTAAAGCACAGTATTTTTACAGACAGATACTTCCTCTAAAATGAAGGAAAAACCTAACCCTAAAGCAAAAAAACACTTTCTTTGTCCACCAAGAACTACTTGACTTTAAAATGGAATGTAGATGCTACAAAAAATACAAGTTATTTTATTACGTTGAAAAACATCAAGAAATTTAATACAAACACAGACAACATACAACTAACTCGTCTCCTTAAAGTTCTGTTCAAGTAATTTAGGGTCAAGAATTGCTCACGATGGTATTTTCACCTAAATTATCTGCCTCTTTTCAATTAGCTTTTATTATTGTAATAGTGGCTCCTCCCACCCTCCCTCAGTGCTTTGGCTGGACTCACAAAATTGCCTATATTTTATGTAAATGGAATTGTTACACCATAAAATGATATACAAATGTGTCTACCACACAAAGTCCAATAAATGTTGTGAATGAACCCATTATTTTCAATGTAACAGCATCTGATAGCAGCCTGGGAAACAAGGGGGTGACAGATGTGAGCCTGTGACAAGGCCTGGAAAAAAACTGAATGAGGTGCACTCTGACACCACAGTTAATTGACTTCTGAAATAAATGCTTTTATTTTTCACAGTTCTACTTGGCTGAGCAAGATTTACAAATTGCTGTCTTGAACTTTTTAATGGCACAAAATAGCTGCCAATGAAAGTCTAAATGACATGAACTTTGAATAGGAGCCTTACAATGACCACCCTGTGACACGTTTTTAACTGACATTGATGATTTGAGAAGTAGCAGCCGCTCAACTGGGAGAGATGGGGGAAGGAGATGGGAGGGAGTTGGAGAACTGGGTATAGAGAGACAGTCTGTTAAACCCTAACAAAGGCCATTTTATCTTAGGAAGAGAAACAAATATTAGGAAACATGCTGACAGACATTTTCACATATATTCCTAGATAATATTATTTGGAGTTCAAGTCTGTTGTTCCTTTTGCTGTGAAAACGTGGTCACAAAGCTAGATCAAGAGGAAATTACATTGGCAGGTAAGAAAATAGGCCTTGTATGAGTAATGAGTATCTGGGCCTCTCTGGGGATCAGCACCTGCTCAGGACCCAGGTTGTAGTCACAGTCACATCTACACAGGCTCAAAGCATTTATTTGTCTGTCTGTCCTTTGAAACTGTGGCCAAACTCTGGCAGATCCAATTGACCTCTGAGGACCAAGGACATCATGGGACAAGTAGTTAGTGAAGATGGGGAATTTTTTTATTTTTTTTTCCTAGTTTTTGTTCTACCTGCCACACTGATCAAGCAATACCATAGTCTGACTCTCTGGAAACTCTTCAGAGAGTTGATTCCCCAAAACCTTCATCAGCCTAACTCACTTGGAAAACTTTAAGTGGAAAAGTTAATTTTCTTAACTTGTTTTGTGGCTGCCTTTTTTTTTTTTTTCTCTAATCTTCAGAAAAAAAGTCAAAAGATCACAGGATCAAAAGGTTTAAAGGTCATAGGTTAGAGGTCAACAGTCAGAAGGTCAGAGGTCAAAAAGTCTGTCATAGGTAAAAAAGAGTATGCTCTACTTAAGCAAATATTATGACACCAATACTATAAGCAATGGCCTCTCTAAAAGGTAAACACCTACACAAGTTTGACATATACAAATTAAGCTTTTTTATTTTGGCCTCTTCACCTTTTGACCTCTGACCTGTCTGCCTTTGGCTTATGACCTTTATACATTTTGACCTCAGACCTTTTGAAGTTTTAACCTTTTTGAAATTTTAACCTTTTGACCTTTACTTTTACCCCAATGTATCTGTAAGTGTAACTGCCTCCTACCTCTGGGCTCTTTCCTGCTGTGCACTGAAAAACAGCCAGAGCTGTGGCCCCAGGACTAGGAACGCCAAAGATTACATCCTCAGGCAGACAATGCTACAACCAAAACTCCTAATTATCTCCATGCATTTCCTGATGCAATGTTAGTGTTTGTGTTGGCTGAAGTCCAGTGGCCCCCTCCCCATGTGTCAGCATGGGAAGCAAAATCAGTGGCTGTCAAATGTGCAGAAATCAACAGAGCACTGCAGAATTACTTCAGCTGTGGTTTTGCCCCAGAGGGTTAGTTCATCTCTCTGCTAACATACAGAAGGTAAAAAACCTGGCAAACCTGCCAATTGCTTGAAAGTTTAATAACTATGGCATAGGATACAGTCAGCATTGGTTAAAAAAAAAAAGAAGAAAAAAGAAAGAAAGAAAAAAAAAAAGAGCCATGCAGAAGGGATATCAAGTAGAGATAGGGGAGGAAAGAAAAGAAACCTAGAGAAAAAGCACACAGTAAGTCTACAGAGCAAAAGATGTTAAGAGAGAATTCTGTAATACTGAGCACAAGCTGCTTTCTAACCACATAAAAAGACAACCTTTTCAAAACTCAGTTAATTTGCAAGGCAAAGATGATGTGAAGGAGAAAATAATGCAAATAATGCAAATGTGGATTAAAAGTCAGAGTTTACAAGGCTCACAGAGCCATTATCTTCAGCAAATTCTCCAGCTTCCAGTTTTGGTGAAATTGTTAGCTTTAGTCCTTGGTTTTAACTCTACTTCAGGCTCACAGATCCAAAAACTGGGCTGAAATTTTTCAATTCTCAACTCCAGTGCCACTCCTGTCAGTTGAGCTGAAACTCACAGGGGTTGGCTCCTCTTTCTGTGGCAGCCTGGTAAATGAACATGAAATCTTTGAACCGAGGAGCACAGCCCAACCAAGCCTCACCAAAATGTTCATTTCCAGTGAAAAGGAAATCTCCATCTCCCTTCTTCACCTTGCACTGCAGCAGGGTTCCTATAGGGCCTCGCCATTCACCACTTGCTTCATCCTGCTGGAAAATTCTGTTTTTCTGCCTGTAGAGTTTCTGGACGCTGACATCAACCTGGGACATGTGGCTCTCTGAGTCGTGGGAAACATTTCGGATAGATCCTTTCACCACTAGATGTGAAGAAGACAGGAGTTGGTTATGGAGCAGCAGGGAAGCAGTTCAGCTACTAGGGGCTCACTGATGGAAGTAAGTGGAGGAAGAGATTTTTTTGTGCAGTTTGCACACCTGCTACCTACAGGTGAACACATTTCTGAGCCTACGTTGCATCCTTGGCACAGAGGATCCCTACACAGACTGTGCTCTGTCCTTGGAATCATGCTTTATGGCTGCTCAAACCAGCTCCATCTGAGGGAAAAGCATGGAACTTGCTGGATAAAAACGTACATGAGAAGAGGTCAGCTCAGGGATCCCATTTTTTCAGCCTATGTTGCAAGACAATGACTGCCACAGACTATTTCTTTCCTGTCTCCACAAGACTCTGAAGCTTTTCCTTGGACAGCAGTAACAGAGGTTGATCCAAGAAGAATCAGAATAGGATTAGTTTGGAAAAAATGTGAAATGTTTTCATTTAAAAGTTTGGCACTTTTTTCCCCTCAAAAGTCATTCATCCACCAAAAGACACTTTGAGAGAAGATGAACAACATGCAGAACATGAACAACATGCAAACATCTTTAAGTGATGTTATTTGAAGCCTTATTTTAAAATCACACAACATACATATATCCCCTTCTCCAAAAATGATCCTAGCTGTTTTCTGGGAATGAAAGCACAATAAGCCATAGTCTTTCTGTCTGAAAGCATCCTGTGCATTAACCATACAGAGAATGAAACATCCCATCTGAGAGGTGTTTGCTGACCTGAAGCCATCTGTCCCATTTTCATCACCTCCAACTTTTTTTACAGACACCAACTATTCTTCTACTACCTAAATTTCAACCCCATATCCAGAGAAGGCTCAGAAACTGCCATCATTTGAGCCAAGGGAACAAGTGATCAATGCAAGGGGAATATCACTCTGCTTCCACTACAAAACTCCTTCATTCAGGTACAGAGAACTCAACAACCCAAGAGGCAGAAAAAAACTTATTTCTGAGGTTTCCAAGAACTTTCTTATTTAATTCAATTTCCAAGGGAATCCAGAATTTTGTGTAACAGATGTCTCTACTCTCTGTCTCCCTCTCTGTGTAATCATTTTTAATCAGATGCACTCAAGTCTATTGACAAGCTATAATGCACTTGCTCATGGTGCTCCAAGTTGCTCCTGCAGTGCTCAGGGCCTAATAACTGAAGACCTCAATCTTAAGAATAATTATAAAGCCCCTATTCACTCCCAGTGCCATTTACACTTTCATTAGCAGCTAGTTCTCTTCTGGTCTGTTGCTGCTGGGAGTGTCAGTGCCCTCCATTGTGTGCCTGGGCTGCCACATCTGTCAGTCTCTGCTCTTTCAGGCAGTGCAGAGGGAGAACAGCATGGGAACTGATAACTTCATCAAGGAGAAACAATGGGCTGGATTGGATCAGTTAATTTAGAAGAAGAAAAATTACCAGCTGAGGAGCACTCTGAGGGAAGCATAATCTATGCTGTGTTTTTGTATCAGCACGTTGATGTTGGGGTTCAACAGTCTTGATGTATGACTGTCCCTAGCAGGAAGGCAGTGATTTGGTGGGGTTTTTTAAACACTTAATAGGGGTAAACATAGTTTTAAGCTTAATTTATGTAGATACCTTTACAGCAATATAATTGTGGCCATGTGCAGAAGCAGCTCTACAGCTTTAACTATTGGACATCCCCAAAGAGGCACAAATTTTCATATGCAAAACCCAGACAGATGAAGGGAATAAAAATAAACACACTAAGCATGTATAACCTGTGTGTGCATCTACAAGAATGTGACTTTGCAGTGTATGAGCCAGCAGCACCCTTGTGAGAATTATTTCAGTTCAATTTTAGATCATAATCTTTCTGCCCACAGAAAAGGAGGACCATGAAAGCAGAAAGCAAGCAAGCTTCTCCCTTCTAGGTTTTCTTTTTCTGCCCCCTTCAAATACTTTTTCACGCAGTTAGTTTCATTCTTGGTTCAGTGAGCAGTCATGCCATTATTTTAAGAAAAGAAGCAAGTAAATCCAAATAATCAACGCACAGTTAAAAGCAGGGTGCCCCTTTAGTCAGCTTACCAAAATCACTGCTGCAAATGGCCATGAGAAGTTCCACGTTGTCACAAGGCCGGCACATAGTTGGGAAAAAACCCAACAGCAGGGAGTTACTTGGAATACTGTACTAGGTATTGTTGGGAAAAAAAAGGTAAATGAAGTTTCAATCAATTCAGATGTCTAATCCCATTTTCAAAATATCATTCTAATTTCCAGCAACCATTTTGAGGGCTTGGGTTCCTGGTGAATTTAGGTCTCTTCTGAATATGGTATTTAGGCTCCTAACATCCCACTTGGGTGTTGTCAGTGATGGTGCTGCCAGAGCCTGGGACACCCATGGTTACTGTGCATATGTCCAGGACCAAAATGGCTACTAATGGAGTGACAGGGGTTTTTCTTGTGTGCCCTCCTGTGTGTACAGTTTGCCCCTAACAGTGGAAATTTGAAAACACACTGAAAACTCACCCACCAAATGGTCAGTGAGCTGGCAGAAGGGCCTACATCGCAACGAAAAACCCCTCAGCCTGAAACAGCTTCTATCCCTCGGGAGGCACTGACCAGGTCCACAGATACTGGATACCACCCTGGGTCTGCTCTGACACTGGAGCCCCAAGGCTAGCCCAGCTCTTACCTTCGACCAGTGTCATCTTTTTAAAGTCGGGGCCAGCAGTGCTCTGGTTGCTGAGCAGCTCGTACCGGAAGCGGGCCGTGCGGCGGCCGATGTCCCTGTGCGGGCTGGCCTGCAGGAACAGGGCCACTCGCTGCGGCCTCTGGGCGCTGAAGCAGGACACGTGGCGGGGTCGAGCCCCCTGTGCCTCGCCTACCACCAGGTGCAGCTGCCCAGCACGTTCCACGTAGATGCTGGCACCCTGGAAGTCGCTGGCGGGCTTGATGCAGACAGTGGTGTGCCGGGCACTGGAGAGGTTGGGCTCCAGAACGACGCGCAGGGCGCGCGCTGGGTACGTCCATTCCAGGGAACCCTCGGTGCAGCGCAGGTGGACCTGCTCCACTGCGCGGGAACGGGGCTCCCAGCTCAAACCGCTGCCAAGACAACACCACCAGTCACTAATGGTGCCCCTAACACAGGGAGGACAGCCCAGCAGGACGGCCACTGCCACAGCTCCTGCCCCCAGCTGTGACCCCATCCTAAGGACCCTCCAGACGAGCTTCCCGCCACAAGGAAGGGAGGGGATTGCTCTCACCTGCTGCTGCACCCAGGTGCATGGAAAGGAGCCTCAGCAAACCCGTGCTCGGACGCCTGCAGCATCCAGAAAAACAACAGAAAGCAGCTTCTCTCTGCTCAACAGCAACAAACACGTTCTGTGGGCCAGGAACGGCCAATGCTCAGCTCTCCGTGGGCAGGCGAGGCTGAGCACTACCGGCTCCAGGCAGGATTCCACAGTACGTGCTGGTGTTTTGTCTGAAAAACTAGGTTTTAAAGCCTAGATTTCTACAACTATTTTTAGCGTTTCCAATAAAAATGGGTGGATACAGCGTTTCCAATCAGCCCGGCCCCGCCCCCAGCCCCCGCTCACGCCGCTGCCGCTTCGCAGCACCCAGAGAAGTGAGCTCTGCGTGTGGCACTTCCGAAAGTCAAACCCGTAATAGCAAAATGAGGAGAAAAGAGATAAATACAAAAAATGCAGAGGAAAGGGATGCAATTTTTAAATCAAATTTCGTTACTTTCCTGTCAGAGTTACAACGTATTTCCCCCTGCTGCCACCCCCAGCAGCTGCTCCCTCAATGCCCCGCGGGGCAGAGCCCAAAGAACCCCCCGGATAACGGGACAGGAGCTCC